GTACCAGTAAGGTATGCTGTAGAAGGTCCCTCGCTTAAGATTTGTCTCATGTTTTACTCATGATCACTCCGAGGTTATGGGTTTTCAAGGTAGTGTTTGTCAAGTTTCTCTACTGCACAGTTACTCTCCACCCCACCCCAGCCCGCTGCTTTCCATGCTGTACTCTGGAAGGAAGTCATCATGTACCGTCCACACTTAAGGAGTGGAGCATAAGGCTTTACTCCTGCATTGTAGAGCATCTGCATACAGGCTCATTTGCCATCAGGGGTGCCAAGACTCTTATCAAGAGACCCAGAAGGGTGGAGTACACCACTCTCAAGGCATAACTGAGGCAGGTTCCAGACCACTGCTGAGAGAGCTGAGCTCCACACACCAGAGTGCTACTCCACACCATGCTGCTCTCCCTTGGCATTGCCACCAGAGGCTCTGTCCTGCTGGATCGAGGACTTCATCTGTCTGGCTGCCCACCTGGCTCCAGAGATTGTTCCTTGCAAGACACGGATGGCTCCTTTGCTCACTGTGCTGTCTCCTGGACCTGCAGACTGAGACTCTGGGACTTGGGTTCATTAGCTCCCAGTGCATTCATGTGATGTTATTACTGATTGTTTCTAAGCAATTAGTATTGTTATTAGGTTAGTATGGATTTAGATTAAGTCTGCATTAATAAAGCCTGAGTGAACCTGCATTAATAGAATCCAAGTGAATAGCATAGTCACCTGCATTGGCTCCCTGTTATTTCTCAGTGCCGGTGTCACCTGTAGGACTGATGGTCATATGGGTGGCTTGGTGCTTTCAGTTCTTAAGGCCTGGATCAGATGACCTGAGCAGGGACCAACTGCTAGTCTATCGGGAAGACTATTTCATGATTCAAGTTCATAACACCTCTTTTTCAGAATTCCTAACAAATTCCCATCAAGTCTCATTGGTTTCTTTTACATGCTGGCTTAGGAACTGATCACTGTAGCCAAGCAAAATGAGATATTTATGTTAGCTCATGGAATACTCATGGGCAGAGTAATGAGAGAGCGTGAAGTCCATGGGCTAAAAACACAGCAGATGTGGGTTTTCAAGTTGGTTAGTACTAAAAAAAAAGGGAAAATACAGCTGTATGTTCGAAAATGATCATTTCCACCACCGTCAGTTACCACTACTTATGTGAATTCTGAAATTCTAAAACTGGCTACCACGTACTGTGAGGTTTTGAAAGAAAATAAGGTAGTTGCTTTTTAAAAAATAATGTATCAGTAAATGGCTTGGGCTTTTTGAAAGCAAATGAACACTCTTAACTTCTAAAAAGTGAATAGTACTTTACTATATTTTTACGTATGAGTATTCCCTGCTTCGCTTCGAAACTAGAAATGTGAAGAATAAATCTATTGTCACTTTACTTTGTGGTTTTGCATTAAAAAATAATTTAATTTTTACAAAAGTGGAACATTTAGGTTTGGAGAAAATAAAAATCTGTTGTCCTTTGTTATTATTGCTTGATTTTGTCTGTCTCCATCAGTTTTCTTTATTTACCTTTTTTCAGGAATATATTCAAAGGTAAATAGATAGCTTGCTTTTCATTCATCAAAACGTTAAAATTCTTTTATCCACTTCAAGGATGCTTGTAAAATATTTTTATTTTTATTTCTAAAGTTTTTATTTATTTATTTTTAGAGAGAGGTGAAGGGAAGGAGAAAGAGAGGGAGAAAAACATCAATATGTGGTTGCCTCTCACATGCCCCCTACTGGCGACCAGGCCCACAACCCAAGAATGTACCTTGACTGGGAATTGAACTGGTGACCCTTCCGTTTTCAGGCAGGTGCTCAATCCACTGAGCCACACCAGCCAGGGCATGTAAAATACTTTTAAAAAGGAAAAACTATAGGACTGAAGTACTATAAGAGAGCAATAAAATACAAACCACTACTATGAGTTGGAATTTCTGATTTTTCTTAGTGCGGCTTTCAATATTTAATTAAATCAGCAATTAACAAAACAGTGGAAAAGGATTATTAGAAAAAAAATTTTAGATTTTTATGTTCGGAGAGTGAGGGAGGGAAGGAGAAAGAGAGGGAGAGACACATCAATGTGTGGTTGCCTCTCATGCACCCCCTGCTGGGGACTGGACCCACAACCCAGGCATGTGCCCTGACTGGGAATAGAACCAGTGACCCTTTGGTTTGCAGGCCTGCACTCAGTCTACTGACCTACACCAACCAGGGAAGCAATGGGAAAGGATAATTTTTAGATCCATCTCTTGCAAAGGTTTACTAGATTTAAGATACTAGCAGTCACCACACAAGATTGCATCTTGGTTTTTCTTTATGTGAAGGCAATTTATTGGTTCTGCTTATCTTTAAGATTACTTTTATTTTTATTTTATTGTTTTTAAAAATATTACCCATCCTTTGTAGTGACCTAAAGGTTTATAAAATATAATAATAAAGATGCTTTTAATTTGAATTTTTAAAAGCACTGCTGCTTAGGTTTCTGTGATGTGTTCAAACTGTAGTTGAGCCACATATGTCTTAGGTGACTTCTAAATTTAAAATCCATGAAATGATGTTAAATTGAAAACTGTGAATTTAAACTTTGGTTATTTGAAGCCTTTAGAGAAAAAAAATTTCCAGAATCAAGAAAAAAAAATTTTTGAGGCGAGCAGTAATGATACATATTAGAGTTAGCAAACTCTTTATTTTATCTTATTTTTTAAGACAAGAATCTTTTTCAGCTCTTCTTCACTTTAAGTGGTAGATACTTGCCATAATTTGTATTTTCTTATGGCTCTATTAAAATCTTTTCCTTTTTTTAATGCTGGATATGTCTAAAAATATTTTTATATAGGTAAGTTCCTGAGAAGTATAATATCCAATTTTGAACCAGCATATCACTTAATATTTAAGTCAATTTTATTAACACTTCTTATTGAAAATATTTTAGATACCAAACATGATGATAATAAGTGCTTTTTACATATTTTATTTACTCTTTATAGGTCAGTAAGGTAGGTATTAAAATCTCAGATTTAGAGAAGAGGAAACCAAGGCTCAGAGAACTTCAGTTAATTGAGGTCACACAGAACAGCCACGATTGACACCTATCAGTAGAACATTACATACTACTGGGTTGACTAAAGTTTGTTTGGTTCTTTCCATATGATGGCTCTAGTAGTACTTAGATGTCTTTATCTTCATTTGAAACAATTTTGTTAGATTGTATTGTGATGGCTGTCATATCAGCATGCATTAAAAAATCAAAATTGGTAAATTTTTATCCAGCAATTTTAATATTGAAATGGAAAAAAGCAACATTTTTGGCATATTATGCTTTATTATTTTAAGAAAGGTAAAAATGCAACTGAAATGCAAAAAAAATTGTGTGGGTCATGGAGAAGGTGTTGTGACTGGTTGAACATATCGAAAGCGGTTTGTGAAGTTTTGTGCTGGACATTTCTCACTGGACTATGCTCCACAGTAGAGTAGACCAGTTGAAACTGATAGTGATCAAATTGAGACATTAAATGATAACAATCAATGTTATACCACCCAGAAGGTACCCAACACACTCAAAACATCCAAATCAATAAAGTTATTGGTGAAAATGAAAAATGTCTTATTTTATGGGAAAAAAAACCACAGGAACTTTTTGGCCAACCCAATACATCTGAAAATTGAGTCATTGAAACATACAAAAGAAAAAAAATCGAAGTAAACATTAACTGTTCAGAGAGACTTTCCTCCATGGTTTCTTACACTCCTCCATTTTTTTACTTTGCATGCAAGGCCCTGACCAGTCCTTGCCCAGGCCATTTCTCAGGCTTGTGGTCACAGAAAACAATCTTGAAGGTTTGGTTATGCAACCTTTGGAACAAAGAGAAGGCTTTCTATGAAAGCAGTGGATCCCCCAATTTCAGAGTTCCTTTCCTGCATTTGCAGCTTCTTATAATTGTTCCTTGCATTTAACGCACAGTCAGGATGCATTTGATGTAAGGAATAAAGGACAAAGAGCAGATGATTAGAAAAATAACTACCAGGAATGAATTCTCCAAATCTTATATCTGTGACCCTTGATTATTAAAAAACAGTTAACTTTCATAGAAATAACATTCATTTTCTCAGTGTCTACTATGTGCCTGGTGAATTCTTTATTCCTTATGTTGTTTTACCACTGGCAACAACACTTTAAGATATGCAATCATTTTTCATCAAGAAATGTAGAATAGAAAAGAATCTTCAGAGAAAAGGGCCCAGCAGATGCTTGCTTCTGATATATACACAATATAAATCTCAGGAAGATTCTGTCATAGCAAAAGGACTGCAAAGGATTGAGCAAATATCATTTATTATATACATTATGCTAGTACCTCATAATTCTTGTGAAAGTGGCTTTACCTTGGCAAGAACCAACGCTGCAAATACTATTCCAAGTCCCAGTGTATGAAATCAAAGTCAAGACAGATGTCCAGATAAAAATTTTAAGCATGGATTTGACTAAGCACAAGTGCCCTATTTCTTTATAGCTAAGCATCTGCAGATGGTAGTTCTCCAGTGTCGGTCTCTCAATCACGACTTCTAGGACTTTTTCCCCTCCAGGCATCTAGAAACTTCCTCTTTTGCAGTTTTTCCTGGGGATTTACTGGGACACTACACACATCTGAAATCTGAGGACTGCTGATCGGCCTGAAAGAACCAAGAAAGGAAGGCGATGTAGGGAAGACAATGAAGTGAGCAAAAATCCTAGGGTCAAAACTAAGAGAACCAAGCTGCCTCGGTAAGAAAATGCGTGTAATCGAAAGCCACTGTTTTCTTGCATTTTACCTCGTCCACTCCAGGAGCTGCGTCCCAACTAACTCCCAGGGTAACTAGGCAACGGCGTTGCCGTGGTAACCCAGGAAGTTCAGAGGGCACCAACAGTCGTCCTGGGGCAGCCTTTCCGTGTCCGGAGCTGGCCTGGAGGGTGGGGGTGAGGGAGTGTCAGGTTCTCGCGAGAGCTGCGTGGGGTGGGGGTCCTTGGCTGGCGTCTTCGACGTTGCCACTGAGGACGCTTTGAACCCTGCCCGGGGCGGGGGCCCAGTGCGCGTCCATGGCTGCCCACCAAGGGGGGACCACCCCTCCCCTGCGGGTTCTGGAAGAAGCACTGGGCTTGACGGCTGCCGGGGACGTCGAGGACGCGGTGGCCGCAGAGGGTACCTACTACCTGGAGCGTATCCTTCCCGTGTGCACCGGAGGCGCGCCCCCGCGTCTGCCGCGGTTACGGGTGTTAGGGGCGGGGGCCGCGGCTTCCCACCGGGGGGCGCCTTCTGAGGCTGGGGCCTGCCAAGCAGCTGAGATTCCTGATGGGCCGCAGGGTGGCGTCTCTGCCATCGAAGCCTCCCAGTTTTCGACCGACTGGTAGATGGTGTTAGGCTGCCGCGTGGCTGTTGGAAGTGACGTTGGAAGACCTTCAGGAGTTTTGTGCTTAGTAAAACAATCAGTAAACTTTGCCTAAAAGTTCATATGAGACCTTCATATGCGCCCTTGAGCGACCTGCTCAAGTGGATCCATCCCTCCTTTCGACTTAGTGGTTTTCCTGAATAAGCCCCCAAACTTTCTGAAAAAGTGCAGTCAAGAAAGTTAGCAAATTAGGGAAGGACCTCTGCCTTCGGGCTTTTAAAGAGCTGAGGCTCAGAATATCCAACCCGTGTCCAATGCTTCAGTGATTAATTTTGGTAGCATTGACTTCCTGGGTAGTATCACTTTTGGCTATTTAATAGTAATAATTACTTTTTTCCCCCTTTAGCAACTAAATGATAGTTTGGTGAGTGGACAGGGCTCAGACAGACGTGTGTGGGGGGAAAAGCCAGAAAGGGATGAGCAATTATCAGTGGAAACAGCGGAAAAGAATAGCCATATGTGGATAATTAAGTTCACTGTTGTGTATAACTTTGGAGCTCCCTTTGTCTAGGCAGAGGGGGACGGTTCATGAGAAAAAGAGACCTATTCCTTTCTTCAGGCAGGAAGGAAGGAGAGATGGTTTCTGTGTTTTATTCTTAAAGTAACAAGGAAACTCCAACTCTACCTTAATATTTATTAATCTATTTATTTAGTCCCACTGTAGTCACTCCAGCTCTAATTCATGAATTCAGGACCCAGTGACGTCCATTTGGTGACCTTTGGCAGACTGATCAACCTGTCTTGACTCACTTTAGGTGCACATCTCTGCCACAGGGCACTTTGAGGAACTAAGTTGAAGAGATCAAAGGAAATACGTAGTGTTCCACTCCAGGTGAACAGGGTTTTTCCAGGTATATAAGTTGGAATAGTTAGAAATTGATTTGAGTGGAATATATGGGCGCTTTAGTGTCTTAAATGAAGTTTTATACTCTGTTTTTATAGCTCTAACAAGTTTTTTTTAGTAATAGTCCTTTTAAATTAAATAAAAGCCAACATTTCTTTCAGAGTTATCTATATCAAGTATAAAGTTACCCAGTGTCCTTGATAGTGAATGATAACCAGACATCTTAACATTTTTGTCTGTATTAACATGATTTCTATAACACATAGTATAATTGGTAACACGAGACAAACAGTGTTAGCTTTTTGCAAACATTTTTGTGAAATAAATGGTGGCAGTTCGATATAGCACAACTGTCAGCAATGACAATCACGTTCACTTAACTGGCAGGGAGATCGCTGGGTCCCAACTGCCAACACCTGGCATTTTGCACAGAACCTTTCTTATGAAGACTTCTCTTGAAAACCACGTTTACAAATATAAGCAACTCCCACTTTTCACAATTTTGTTATCGAGTTTGTGAATTATTTAGGCCCTTTGCTTTTTGTTCATCCCTCTTTGCCTGACTGACTGGTGTTTTGGGTTTCAACCAGAATAGTCAGGGAATAACAAAGCTAAACATTTAACCAGTCAATTTTCCTGTATTCAATGCAAGTAAGAGCTGTAGTCATGGGAGAGACTTTAACTCTTAGTTAAAATGAGGTTGGAGGATTACTACTGAATGCCAATTATCCCTGTATCCCTGGGCTCTCTTAACATGTGTAATTAAGAGTTGACTGTATAATGTTATTTGACATTGTTTCCTAAGGCAATTATGATAGTTGCTGAAGTGAGACTTTCTTGGGTTTAAAGTCCTTAGCTCTCAGGTAGTTTAATTGAGCTATTGCAGCGGATAAAGAAAAGTTATAATGTGCACAAATGAATTAGAAATCTGATGTTCTCTACTTTGCATATATACCTTATCACTTCCAATCTCCTGCCTTTGGTGTTGGACTTCCATATTTATGACTGAACAGGTGCTCCTGCAACACTAGACAACAAGCTATCAATACTGAGCAAGGCTTTGAAAGATGTTGACTAATTCATTCCCCAGGAACTCACCCTTTTCTTTGCTTTTAAACATTTAGACATAAAGAACATGTATGCACTAATGTGGCCCAAACCAGAAACACAGGCAGGATCCATCACAAGGGAAATGGCTTCATTGAAGTCCCCACATCCTTCTTTACATCAGTGTAGAGAATGTGTTCACAGAAAAGATTTCTTGCCCCTGCAACACCACTCCCTTTCAACCTCGTAGGTGTGATAGGGCCACTTTCTTCTGACACACTTCACAATACCATTGCTTTTATGTTTTAAACTTCCAAAAGGTGAGATACAAACTTACATGAAGTAGTCCTTATTTCATTACCACCAGAGCCTTAAGAAATCTCGTTATGGAGTGCACAAATCCTCTGCAGAGCTCTTCGTAAGAAAGATACTGGCATCTTGTGGAATGTAAGGCTAGATTTTAACTAAGCAATCTGCAAGGGGCCAAATAGGTGTCTCTAGAGTTTATAAAGAAGGTGGTTGTCTTTTGTGAATGAATGAGTCCTCTGTTAGGGATCAGTACAGTCTGGGTGGTGGTTTCAATTGTAGTTGTGACCATGGACTTCTATTAATGCCTGGCTGTCGACATCTGGGAGTACCCACTGCCATTGGGAGACGGCTGCAGTGCATGTACTAAGAAAGCTAATGCTTCACTGATTTTGTTGCTTCCCATCTACAGAAAGACCTTGGTCAAGGAAGAGCCATGAGCACGTGACTCTAGGACGAAGTGGGGCCCTGAGTGTTGTTTTTGTTCTCTCTTCCCTTCTCTCTGATCTCTGCTCCCCTAACTAGATTTTGATGATTGTATCATCTTTCATGATATAATAATAGAGGCATTCTACCTCTAAAAATTTGGCTCTTTAGATTATGGACATATGCTTTCTGGCCCCTGAAGAGGTGTCCTCTGGCCCCAACAGCAATCTCTGAACAGCAGTTGCGGAGAATTGAGTGTGTTAACCCAGTCCTTTGAGGCAGCTCCAAAATTAGCTTTTTCTAAAAATTCAAAATTAAGGTTTTCAGACCCTGAAACATGGTGATCATGTTAAACTGATACCCATCTAAGAGCCATGGTTGTTTTTTTAAGTGACATCCTATCCAGTTTTTCTTTGCATTAGTATAACATTCACCAATAACTTTGTTTAATTAAAATTGAACTTTTGTCATTTAAAAATATTTTATTCCTTTTAACAAAAACAGTATTTCCTCTGTTATGTTATTTCCCTGGAATGTTTACAGTAGTAAGTGAGAAGATAATCATAAAATCCTTAATAATTATATGTACTCAAGCTATGCATTTCTTATTATCATGGAAAACTGAATTTGCCTGTGGGGTCTTAGGTGCACCCTGCATATAGTTAAATGAAAATGATATAGAAAATCTGAATGTAGAATCTACTCCAAGAGGCATGTTACTAAACTCACATGCTGAATTTTACATGTAGGAAAGTCATAGGCTATTTGGAGAGAACAAGTATGTTTGTTCTGTGTCCTCTAGTTAGGCAAACTTTAATGTGCATGTGAATCAAAGATACAGATTTTTATTGTTTTTATGGGGGTGGCATTGGTTAATAAAATTATACATTTCAGGTACACAGTTCTTTAGAACCTTGTCTGCACTCTGTGTTGTGTTCACCACTCTAAGTCTCTGTCCTTCACTGTTTATCTCCTCTGTACCCTCTTCCTCCTCCTCCTACCTCCCCTCTCCCCGGGAATCACCACACTGTTGTTCATGTCTGTGAGTTCTCTCTCTCTCTCTCTCTCTCTCTCTCTCTCTCATTTTTCTTTTTGCAACAGAATGGATGGACCTAAAGATACAATCTTTAAATGAAGGTTCTAATTCAATAGGTCTTGGTCAGGGCTGAGATTCTGCATTGCTGATGAGCTCCCAGGTGCTGCAGGTGAGAACTGCAATAGGAACAGCAAGCCTCCATAGAAATATCTTAACCTTTAACCTTCATGTTTTCAGATAGAGGTTACAGTATGTGGAGTTGATATCTTTGGCTCTCCTGGATTACAAGTTGGAAAGTGTACACCACTACCTACTGTGAGAACTGTGAGTCTTTAAGTCGAAAGAAACTTGTTTTCCAGTTTCGGAGGCAGAAGACGTGCAGGAGCTGTCTAGGGCAAGGGTGGCCACTACATTTCCATTCTTGGCAGTGCTATTAAGATGGTAGTGGCTTCTTGATATGTGGCGTTAATAAGAATTCTGAGACCTAATAAAGTCGTGGTGAGAAAGACTGCAGGAAGCCAACAAGGGGAAAATTGGCGGCAGACGTGCCAGTTATTTCCGGTCTTTGGTTTATATTTGGTTAGCTTACTCTGTTTAAACTGGAATTCTTAAGAAAGGGCACATGACTGTGGTGTTTGTTATTTACAGTACTTTTTTACAAATTTCAATTCAGTAAGTGAAGTGTTGGTTATAGAGGACCCAGCCTGGATTTTAGATTGCCTCCGTATATATTGGCTCTGCAGTGATGGCAGAGATTACAAAGCAATTTCTGGCCGTGGCAGCTTTGGGAAATCATGTAAAATATAATTAGCTGTATGTTTCACTCCAGTTCTTTATAAAGATGCTGCTGCCGGCAGGGATCACTACCTGTAAATGCAGTAGTAGAAGAGGCTAGTGTGTGAGGAACTTTGTATGCTGCTTATATCTGAAAATTGTTTGTTGCTTTCTGGCCGTGGTCCATTTCCTGAACGTTGTGACAACCTCATACCAACTGGCACCTCAAGCCTTGCTCCATTAGACCAGCTGAAATGCTTCTCTGAGACTTCTTGCACTTGTGCCTCCTGCAATATTGTGATGGATTTAGGGCTCCCTGGCAGTTTCTGTGGAGGGTGTATACTGGCCTGCTTTCTGATAGGATCTAGGAAGTCAGGAGCTGGTGAAGATTCAGCAAGTACAAAAGGTCCCAATCAGTTCACCCATGGCAACTGAGTACCGGGATGCTGATTCATACTGTGCAAACTCACGAATACAATTAAATTCCTTTCAGGGCAAGTGGAGATGTGGTGGAGTGGGACCCTTGGTCTGAGTCTGGATGGTGACTCTAAGGCATGGAACCTGCCTAGGAAGGTGGCGGCCTTTTGGATTGTGGCTACAGACCCAGGAGGGAAGGGGAGCCCCGGCAGTGCTCTGGAGGAAGCAGAATATGGAACCAGGCACGGTATTAAATGTCAAGTTCAGGTCAAATAGGCAGAAAGGGAAGAACCAGATCTGAGGAGAACACAGTGGGAAAAAATGAATTTCTGAACTGGAGTTCTCTGATGTTCTCTGAAGGAATATTAGGTAGATAAAGGGAAGGGAGTTTTGTAAGGGCTCAGAGTCAGTTTGGCATTAAGAAACTGATTTTAAGCCAGATGCCAGCTGCTTATTCTGCAGTGGAAAAAGAACTGTGCTGGATTTGTGGCCAGCTTTAATGTACGGACATTTCCTGGAGAGTAGGATCGCCTAAGAGATTTGATTACAGATGAGAACATATCCAAGTAAAAGTATTATAGAACCACAGTAAAGGTTTCGGGTTTCAAATAATTCTGATGAATTATCTATTTCCACTTGGGCAATTCTGCTTCTAAAGTAGTGCTTTTGACACATGGTATTCTGTCAGACTCTGCTTCCTACTGTCGTTCTGGCTGTCCCAAGGGCCAAGGGGATCAGTATCTGCACAATCCACAATGTTCTCTTCATGAAAAACTGGAGATGTAATTTATTCATGCTTTGAAACCAGAAATTTCTATATATCTGCTGAGAAACTTACCTGTTTTCATTGGATGGATATTATATTGGTGTCTGATTACATCTTCCTTTTCACCCTGGCTGCTAGGAAGCTTAGAGTCAAATCTGTGGCTTTGGTTTAACACAATTTATGAAACCTATGGCATGTTCTGCATCTTTACCTTTATCCTTTTTCTACTATTTCCCTTTCTCTTCTAATTTGCATATTCATTTATTTTTATATTTTGTAGTGTATGCATATTTGCGAACTACCAGAGAATCATTTTGGGATTCGTTCATGCACTCATCCATGCATTGCTGACCATCTAGCCAGATAGGCAGATGCATACCAACATGCAAAGTACTTTTATTTCTTCAGTTACACTGCAACATCACATTTCAGCTGAGTCGCTGCTGGGAAGATTTTCAGTGCATGTCCTCCTGTGAATACTAAAAATATCCATCAGGAGGATACCGGTTCCTATTTTGGGTATTTGTACTTTTCCTGATCTTTTGTGTCATTAATTAATCTCTTGCCCTTTGGTTAATTTAAGTTTTGAGTCTGCAGCCCTTTTATACTTCTCCTTCCTTTAAGGTCTTCACATGGATCTACTTAAGTGATTTGATTTAGCTCTTGTTATAATGCTTAAGAGTTTGGAAAACAAGTAGGTGAGAGTTTATATTAGGATATTGGCAAAAATTGCATATTTCTGTTGTTTCACTGTAGAAATAGTATGGTGTACTAGGAAAATTCTCGGAGTTTATATTGAAGAAACTTGTCTTTGTTACTCAGAGCTGTGTGATTTTAGGCTAATCTTTTTTATTCTATTTTTTTTCATTTTAGAGATGACTGTATCTATACCATTCAGTCTCACAAGGTTGTCGTGAGAATAAATATGGCTGTGTTCCACATGACAATACTTTTTAAGCTTTACAAAATGGTAGTTATTTTTTCTTGGTCTCCTTTGATTTTGTGGAAACAGAATATTTTACCAGTGGTAGAATCCTTTGCTTACAATATTTTCTGGGTAGAGAATACAGGTGGTGGTACACATTTCCAGAGCTTTTAGAATGGGTCACTTTTCCCCTCCACATATCACTGTGTTTAATAACCTGCACTTTTGCATTCCTTCCTCACAATCTAGTCAGCGGTTGGTTAGTTTACAGTTACAAAGTCTATCCAGATCATTGCAGAATACTTACTTTTTTATGGTATGAAGAGTGGTGAAGGATGACCTTGTTCTTCTGGAGATCTAATGACAGATAATTGCTTACAAAATCAGTCTCTGGTGGTTGTCTTTCAGAAGGAAATGTACTTTTCCATACAGAAAGAGGCTGACTTCCTGTATCTGATAGTCAGGAACTTTTATCTCATTAAGGGAAAATGTGTCAGATAAATATAAACGTAGAAAAGGAGGAAAATGGAGACTATCTTTTATCCATTCAGCTTAACATACAGGGGAACCGAGCCGTGGGAGACTTACGAGACTTTTTTACAAGTACTCCTCTCTTTCCAGAACATGGGAAATAGAACAAACACTGCATAGCCTTTGCTGTAAGCCATGCACTTTTCTAAATAATTTACATATGTTAACTCTTTTACTACTCTTGAAACGCTATAAGGTAGTGTAGTAACCAGCCTGCAAATACCGCCCAGGGATCCCCACCTCCTGGTGTAGATGCCCTTGTAATGTGCCCTCATAGACTGAGTAGTGTTGACCTGTGTGACCAGTGAGTGGTGGTTTGTGACTTCTGAGGCTGCTGATAAAATAAATTGTAGCTTCCTCTTCATTTTCCTGGGTTGCTTATTCTGCAGGTGGCTAGCCACTAGGTCTTGAGGAGGTTTTAGAGGCCCGTGGGGAGGACCACGTGAGGAGGGTCTGAGCCTTCAGGAAGTAGATCCTGTTGTCTCAGTTAAGCGTTCGGGTGACTGCAGCTCTGGCTGTCATCTCTATGAAACCTCATGAGTGACCACATCAAAATTTGCCCCTTAAGCTACTACTGAAGTCTTGATCGCAGAAGCTGTGAGATAATGGGTGCTTATTTATTTATTTATTTATTTATTTATTTATTTATTTATTTTAAGCCCAAAGATTTGGGGAGTTTGTTATGCAGCAATAAGTAAACAACATACTGATTTTGGTACCTAGAGAAGTTCCAACATAAAAAGTACCTTAAAGTATCAGAGTGGCTTTGCAATAGTGCATTGGGTAGACTTGGAAGGACTTTAAGTAGGATGTCAGTAAAAGGTAGGTTCCTCCATAAGGGTGAGTTTACGGTTATGGGATGTACTGTAGGCATGCAACTGTTTTTGTGGTGGTTTAGTTTACTTCTATAGCCTAAATTACTTTTCACTGTATTTTTGGGAGAGACACTCATGTGTGACAACATAATACTGGCCATTTGACAGATAGATGGTTCCTGAGAGTTGGTCATAATTGAACTAGGCCTAAGTGTCTCCTTAAATAATAAGGCAAACACTAAAGAGTTATTGGTTATGATGAGGCTTGGTAACAAGAATGTATTACCTATCTTTACAGGTATAGAACTATGTGGAAAATAATCGGCAAACACCTCAAGTATTTACAGGCACAGAAAACCCGTAGAGCACAGTAAGAGAGGTGGTGTAGTGGAGTGAAGCCTGAACGTCTGGGGTGTATTTATAGCTTTGTTAAGTCCTAGCTGTGCAGTCTTGTGCCTTTGAGTCCCGTTCTGTGAATTGGAGATAATGGTGGTTCCAGCCTCACAGACAGGATGAGGATGAAATGAGTTAGTACACGTATATTACAACCCTTAGGACAGCATCGGGCTTCTATTAAATACTATGTGTTATCAGTTCATATTACAAACACCATAAGTTGTTAAATATACTTTCAGCTAACTCTTGGAAGGCAGAATCACAGAGACAATTTCTTATAACCAGCAGCAAAATGCAAACTAGGCTAATCTCATCTTTGATTTTCATAACCATTACTGTGCATTAAAGTGTTTAATTTCATGCTTTTTAAACTCACCACAACCAAGTCGGTACATTTGAAGAAAAAAGTAAACCTACCAACCAACAAAATAACTGTTGAAGTTTTCACTGATAATTAGAACAACTTTTATAATTTTAGAAGTTTTATAGTAATACTGTTAGAATTCTTATTAGAATCATTTCTGATACTTAAATGCTGATTTCTTGATAATTTGTGAACTACTGAATTATGATTACCATATAGTTTATATTTACTTAAAAATTTGGCTGCCTTTCCTGAGGAGAATGAAAATTGAGAAATACATATAAGAAAAAAGTGGAGATTTAAATAACTTGCATTGATGAAAACTTTGAAATGTATTAGCCCACCAAGTTGGCAAGATAATGGGAGCTAATACTGTATTTTGACATCAAATTGATTTTAAATAGAATCATTTTATTGCATGTATTTTGAGATTAAGACTTGACAAGATGTTCAGAGGTCACCATAACCGAAGCATCTGAAGATGATGATTTTGAATATGAAGAGGTAATTTGTTCATTTTGGGTATTCTGAAAATTTATTATGGCTGTTCCTAAGAAATATTTCTTTATTCCTTAAGAATTGCTAGATTTTCAACTGATTTTAGCTAATCTCAGCTGGTTAAGAGTGAGGTGTGAAAATTCTATTCAATATTTTAAAATTTAGCTTGGTTAATATATCTGGCCTTTGGGGGTTTCCTGTTAATTGTCCTTGGGAGTCAGCCCCTTATCCCTGGCTTTGAGGAGCCTCACTGCTGCCTGTCATTACTGGCTAACAGGGGTTGACCGTCACCCAGTCTGCTCTGGGCTACGTCTCCCAAAACTGCCACTGCACAGCTGGAGCGCAGGTCCTGTGCTTCCTGCCAGCTTAACTGCACTTTCTGAGAGTGTGGTTGCTGTCCCAAACCTTCCATTTAATGGACCATTCCAGTGGAACTTATCATTACTTCTGAGACTTGGAGGATAGAGACACTTCTAGGAGGCAGGGGCTGTGAATGACATTGTGTGGATGCAAACCTGTCAGTTCCTGGTGTGGGCAAGCAAGGGACAGGAGAAGCACAGAACATGGGCTTTTTATTACTGCTAGAACAGCAGAGATGGTATGGATACACACTGCATGAAATTACTGAATGAGATAAATTGATTGCAAAGGACCTAAAACTGTGATCAGCATGTAAAAGCATGCAATAAGTGTTAACTATTATTAACACTTATAATTGAACTTGATTACATTCTTCCAAGAGTGTAACACTCAGGCAGGGAGTTTTATTTATTTATTTTTTAATAATCCAGAGATTTGTAGTTGCTAGTAGTCGTTATGAAAAAGTAATGGGTGAGGAAAATCTGGGATGAGGAGGGAATGGTGGCGTTTAGATCACCTGACATTTTTTTTCAGCACAGTTGTTGGTCTGCATTTGTCACTGTAGATCAAAGTAGTTACCCATAAACCAATACTGAGTTTATTAAAAGGGACACTGAATGATGTTTACAAGAAAGTCAGAAAGCTTCCTGCTTCTTATTTATTCATTTTCATAGATCTTCAAAATGATATGGTGTCTGACATAAAATATATTTCTCTGGCCCTTTGTTTTGTGGGAAAAAAATGAAGTGAAGTAATGTATATTTATATTCTCCCTAACTCTTTCTGTCCTTCTCTTCCTCTGTGATTTAGATACCAGATGACAATTTTAGCATTCCAGAAGGTGAAGAAGATCTGACAAAAGCAATGCAGATGTTTCAAGAACAGGTTACAGATAGTCAAATTTTGGTGAGAATTTTGAACACAACGTTTAGCAGTGATAGCTTTTTACATGAAGTTTTGAAAGTTGTTTATATTTCAAGCACTTCGCTTACTTACTAAATGCAGCCCTATCATGTTAGGTGTTTTTCATTTCTATTTCTCTATCATCAAACCTCTACCTTAAGTAAGGAGTCGTATTTACTCTTTTTTGTTTTTTTGTCATTTTCCACATGGGGGTCACTTAGGCGTGACTTTGCAGTAAATGACACTTGCCATTAGAACTCTGCCTATTCAGTATCAATGGAGATTAAACCAAGGATCCGCAACACTCATGTACAGAGTTTGATATTTTATAAACACTCTATAATCTGTTCTCTAAGCTTCTCTGGTTTTTTTTATGGAAGTATTTGGCTCACAGGGAATGTTTAATGTATGATGATTTTTTTCTAATGAGGTTTACGTACTAATTTTACTACTGGAATATGGTGGGGGATGCTTTCTGATGATAATACCACCCACTAAAATACTATCTGTAAAATACTATGTGGCATTCCTGTAATGCTGAAAACTCATTTAGAAGTTGAGAATATTTTAATGATGATAGCAAAAATGTTTTTAAAGTGCCTAATATTTCATATCAACACTAATTGGGTAAGATGTTTTTAAAAAATGATCTAACCTTTTTCTACTGAGGAATGTGGAAGAAATCATGATACTATTATTTAGTTGCAGATTTGACTTCTTTAGTGCAGAATAGTATGTACAGACTTCTCTCCATATGCTGACTTATGTCAGTCTTTTCATATTTTGTAGACTTTCTCTGTCTAGAAACCCAGTAACTCCTTTCCAAAGTATCTGTCCACTCAAAAAAACAAACAAAACAAAACAAAAAACACCTCAAGAAGAGGAGTTCTTGAATCTGGAATTGATTGTATTCTGTTACAAATGGAGGGTTCTAGCTCACAGTAAACTGCATTCTCTAATGTGTCTTACAGACATAGTCCCTACTAGGTAGACTTAAAGTGAAGTCTACTATATAGACTTGTTAGTCTTTTAGATATCTCAATGCAGTAAATTACGGGGATAGTTTTAAATACGGCATTTTAAATGATATGCAACTATGTAAACATGTCAGTTGCATGATGTGTTTATTTGCTGCTCATCATCTTCCCTCTTGCTTTACATCATTAGGTAAAGGAGGATTTTAGAAAACACTGTACCACTCACTTGTCCTGGTTAGACATAAAGTAAATATGCCTAACACAGTGCTTGGTACACAGGAGGTACTAGATGAACAGCAGCCGAGTAAGTGAATACATAAGTGAATCACCGAATGAAATTATTATGACCCAAATGTAACTGCTTTTTAGTGTTTGATATCATGGTGGAATGTGTTTGCCATCCCAAGGCCAAGTCCAAGGAGCACAGCTAAGGAAGAAATACAGTGGAGTAGCCATCATATCTATTGAACAAAATATCAATTAATTCTTTTGTCAGTTTCTCAGAAGCTTTTTTAAATCAAAACCTTGCAAGAGTTAACTTGCTAAATTTCTGACACATTTATAGCTAGTTGACTTTAAGTTCTATGGTTTTTGAGTTCTTCAGAGGAACAGTGCTATGCAGAAATTTACAAAAATTACCCTTCAGCTTTTAAAATTAAATACAGATTTATTTTATGATAGCACATCAATTAATATATTTCTGATTTGTTTGTTATTTCTATAGTATTTTATCTTCAAAAACTAACTTTGAGCTGTGCCATGGGCTTTCTATTTCAAAGAATATCCATTGCCTATGAAACCAACTTCCTTTTGTTGTGATCTAGTTACATCTGTTTATAAATATGGTATATTGTCTTCTACATTAGAGGATGCACTTTCAGTGGTCCTTATTCAATGAGCACTTTCAACATTTTCATTCAAGATTGAAAGAGAAAGCTCATTTTGTTAGGAAAGTTTAAATATAGTTAAAATAGTGAAAAATAATTAAAGTCATTATAATAATTGAAAGTTGGAAATAATGTAAATAGTCTTTTGTTAAATAAACTAATACAAGTGTTTATTGAATCGTTGATATTTAAATAAAGTGTTATGATTATCCGTATACATTGTTAATGTAGATGAACATTTGAGAATTGATTGCATGTTTTATTTCATGAAGTTTAAATTGTGTGCGATGCAAAGCAGTTTCCTTAATAGGCGCAAGGTTTCTGACTCTGAGATGAAATATATTTAAGGGGATTATTGAAAAAAATTAAGAAGGGTAGGAAATGTTATTAATTTGTAACAGATGTGTGGTTTTGTTATACTGCCAGGTATTTCTTGAAACTAAAGTCTTTTTTCTAAATATGAATATAAGTGGAGATAGGATACACACATTTATATTCCTTAGAGATATTTTATGTATTTGTGAAAAAAGTCCAGTTACGTTCACATGGGGTTTCCCCCCTCTAAACTGTGAGCCTTCTTACTAATAGTATTATTGCCATTTTGGGGGGTATAATTCTTTAATCCCTTTGGTTCTTGGCTTTTTGTTTGGGGAATTTTGGTGGTGCACTCTCCAAGGTACTTTGTATTGCTATACTTCTCTAATAACTTAGTTTTTATAAAATTCTAACTTTGATCTGTAGAGATCACAGTAGCAAGGCACACAGATAATACACTTCTTAGGTTTCCTGGCATCTCCTCTCCTCCTCCTCGTCTTCCTCTGTGGATAGAAGGCGTTTCTTTGAAATGCCAAGTGTTTTTATAGAAGACAGGTTGGTGACGGAACAAAACTGTTATGTCATTTAACATATTTATCAGTAGTTCCGAAAGTATAGTTGGCATCCGCTGGGGGTTTGTGCCGTCCTCCATTTTCTGACTGCGTATGTCTGGGTTGAATTTTCTTCACATGGCTCAACCAAGGTAACTTATCACAGCAGGTTGATGCAGAAGCAAACACTGGGGTCCAGCCACCTTCTCTGCATGTTACAGAGATTTGCAAAACTTTTAACAGTGCTACTCTTCGTACTAATTTATTTTTGTCTTCGCAAAATATAGTTCTGTTTTATAAAACTATGCCAATTTATGTTACTGGGTAAAAGTGTTCTTATAGTTACTTAAAAATAAATACTTAAAAATTTAATTTCTAATATGGTAACTATTGATAGATACAATCCATTGAAGCAAAAGCCCTATGTAGTTTTTGAGTATGAACATGTACTGAGAACATAGATTTTTGAGAAGTTTTATAGAATTTTATGATAAAATTTTTCTGGTATAGTTATTCAGATTTTTCTGAATTTCAGTTATTCAGATTCAAATATTTTTGCCAAGAATTATGTTGTTATAACAAAATAATCTGGGATTAGTAAATTTGTATTTCTTTTATTTAGACCTTCTTCAGTCCACTGGACTTCCTATTTATTTATTTGTTTGTTTATTGTTGTTTCTGAAAGCTTATTTTTTTCCTTTACCATTTAGTTCCCTTGACTCGCTCTAAACTTCAACCTAAGAGTTTGCCTAACAAAGCCTTTATTTGCCTACTGCTTTATCATTTTTCAAAGCAGCTCTCTCCTGTTGCCCTCATTACACTATCTAGAAACCTCTCTACTTAGGAAAATTCAAATTTATAACTTCAATGTATAAAACTGAACTATATGCTAGAGTCACCTTTGTCACCAGCAGACTATTGGGTCACATGTGAGTGGGACATATTTTTATAATTGAGCAGTCTTCAAAGAGAGGCATATTTGCTAGTTAGTAAAGTACTTGCTCTTTTTGTACTTATTCTGAGGTACTTTATTAACATCATCATTAAATTTATAAAGCCGTAGGAGAATTGTATAAAATGTGTAATAGAGATCAAAGTGCAGCAGAAGATTATATAGAATTGTTAGTATGCGTATCAGAAGTATTCAGGAAGAGGGAGAAAGAAAACACCTTTTGGAGACTGCAGGAACCTTCCAGCGGTGTCGCAGCCGTACATACCAACATGCGCACACACAGCCGCCCACAGGCGTGGGAAGAGCCTAAAGGAGGTGCATTCTCCCGTTTTAACCTCCCGTGTTCCCGATTCCTTCAACTGCCATTCATCTAATCCTATGAAATACCATATTCAAGTTGATGGACCCCAGATTTCAAGGTAGTGTTTACTATTGTATAACAAATGTTTGCATCTGACTGTATTAGGCCCTCACCGGACAATTCCGTATAATTGTCCACTGGAATGCAAGACTCGAGGTGAGCACAAGAAACTGTATTTTGCCATGTATAATGTGCACCTGTGTTTTTTGGTCCCAACTTTCAGGAAAAAAAGCTTTTGTTTTAATTCAATTTTTTAAACTTATTTATATTTAGAAACAAAACCAATGATCATATTTCAGGTTATTATTTTACATACAGATATCATTATTGTTTTCTAGAGTTACACTTTTAATGCATCAGCATAAATAAAAGAATTAAAGGCATTGATATAGATATGGAATTAGTACTACCCATGTATAATGTGCATCCTTGTTTTTTCCTCAAATATTTGGGCAGAAAATGGTGCACTATACGAGGCCAACTGTGGTACCTACCACTGTGGCACCTCTCGTGGTGTTTTGTACAGGGTCCTGAGTATGTTAACATTGTTATATAATACCTTTAACAGCAATTTTAGAAACGGGAGTCTAAGTTACTCTGCTCAAGTTTTCTAAAAGAAATATTTAAAACTCGTAGTCATTTTAGGAATTTTCTGTAACCCCCAAATTTGCTTCAACTCTCCACCATTTTGAATGGTATAGCACCTACAAGTAATTCACATCAGTGTCAAATTGTGTATAGTACTTTTTTTCAAATGTTTATTTATTTATCTATTTTTAGAGAGAGGGGAAGGGAAGGAGAAAGAGAGGGAGAGAAACATCAGTGTTTGGTTACTTCTTGAGCACCCCTTCCTGGGAATCTGGCCTGCAACCCAGGCATGTGCCCTAGACTGGGAATTGAACCGGTGACCATTTGGTTCACAGGCTGGCTCTTAATCCACTGAACTACAGCAGCTGAGGCTGAATATAGTACTTGTGAGAAGAACTTCTTATGGCAACAGAGATTCTTTTTCCTCACTGTGTTTCTATGTAGTCATGCTGTGTGTTCTGTGTAACCTGGTCTGTAGCTACTAGCAGTGTGAGGAGGAGAAATGGGAAGGAAAAGTCCACTGCTGAGTTTCTGCGTGTGTGAGAAACTAGGTCTGTCTATCCAAATGATTGACAGTTAAATTAAGAAGTTTCTCCTAATGAAAAGAAAATGAATGCAGGCTAACAAGGATGATGCCTGCAGACAAGAATTGGATGTCTTCAGACAATCCAATTACACTCTCGCCTCAGGGCCTTTGTACTTGCTAATGTTTTGTCTGGAACCTCTTCTGCAGATTTCTGCTCAGATGCTGCTTTTTCGGGGAAATCATTCTTCATTCGGTTACATGCTTAGCAGCCAGATTCCACACACAGTTCTGCCCTACTCTCAGCTCCCTCTAGTTTTCATCCTCGGCTTTTTTAATGTGGACATTTAGTACCATCTACCATACTATATTTTTAAAGTGGTCACTCACTTTCTGTCTCCATCCACTTGGTTAATAGTTGTGAGGACTGAGTCTTGCCGTTTTTATCACTGCTTTATCCCTAGTGATTACCCTTTGATTATTGTCCATCTCAAAAAACATAGTTGAAAAATGAACAAGTAAGTGAATAAATCAATGCCATTAATAAAAAATTTGATGATTCCAAAATAATTAATTGTGCATTTAAATTTCAGGAGCAGAAAACAGTCCTTCCTTCAAAGCGTGAAGTCCCTGAAGTAATAGAAGACTTTCTCTGCAACTTTCTGATCAAGATGGGAATGACCAGAACTCTTGATTGCTTTCAGTCTGAATGGTAAGTAATTATGTAGATAAAGAGTTCTCTGGAAATGCTAACAGTGTTTCATGTGTACACTTGTAACCCTCTTAGACACTGAAGTCACCCAGTTTATGCAAAGTGGATGAAATGGGTGGAAACCTGTCCCATGCCCACGACTGAAACCATGGCACACCTCCCCCAGACCCGTCTGTGGAAACACACAAATGCACATCCTCGGGTACCAGTTTCCAATACATTTATATCAACACCATTGTCAGATATTCAAAATGAGGTGATTTTCAAAAGTCAAGTAACTGGAATGCATTCTGGAGTTATATGATATAATACAAAGTGACTTTATGAAATGTTTTTCCTAATATTTTCTGCAGAATTGGTCAGGGCATTATTTCCTGCATTAAGAAATCCTACTAACAATACCACTTTGCTTGTTTTTCATGTAATGTAATGGTCCGCCTTTTTCTACTCACACAAATGATTGATTCTCTTTTTCTATAAATTTTTCTTCACGTTAAGGAACATGTATAAAGGTCCCGTGGATGAAGCCAAAGGAGGGGGTAGGGTGGGGGAGAAATGGAGACAACTGTACTGGAACAACAATAAAAAATACATAAATATATAAGTTAAAATTTTTCTTCATGTAGAAGTAGAAGTGGAAACATTTCAAATGATAACTAAAGACAAGATTTTTTTGTTACAATTGAAATATTTAAGTCATATGTTATAAACTTTAGCAGATATGCTGTGTTTATTCCTTTGCTATAGCAGTAATGTCACCAGGCATGTTTTCAGAGTCCTGGCATTCTTCAATAAAATGTTATTACATAATCGGATATGAAAATATGTTTGGTCTTTAAAAACCATTGCATATTATAGAAAGGGGAATTATATGGTATATGAAGATGTTTATAATGTTTTTTAGATAATCCTAATTTTAAATGTAGGGGCAAGCTTTCATTTTTACTAATACATTTATGGTGTAGTTTTTATCTTTTGCTTTTCTTTGGGTCTCATCTACTTGGAACATACACATAGAAGAGATATGTTTTAATACTTTAAATTGCATATTTAATGTTAATACATTAAAGGAAGAAAAACTTTTATTATAGTTTCGGAAAAAGGTCAAGTTTAATGGCAGTAAAATAATATTGTTCCAACTAAATGTGGAAATTGTGTAAATGATTTTTATGAAAATGCCCCTAAAACATTTACAAATGCATTATAAGTACATTTTTGTAAAAGTAGATGATTAACTTGTAGTACTAATGAGATGAAAGATTAATGAGGTTCAGTTACCTTTTCTTCTTCGGAGGATGTGTGTTAGCACATACAGCGCTCACAGGATTGGTCAGCCTAAAGTGTTAAATGATCCCCATGGAGAAATGTGGAACCAGCATACTCTGCACAAATAGATACTTGTCATATTATCTTTTCACATTTAGCAATTGAGAGGAAATTTTAGGAAACTACAATTGTGGTAGGAATTTTAGAACACTAAGTAAGCATGCCACTTAGCATAATATTACAATCATTAAGTAAAATTTGTGTGAAATATCTTAATATATGGGTTTAATAATACAGTGGTTCAAATAATTTTATCCTTATCCCTGGCAGCCAGTTTGTAATGAGATCGCAAGTTGCCTGCACTGTGATTACACTGTACTGGCTGCTTTTACTCAGGAAGAGCATCTCTGACTTTGGTCAGAGAGAGACCTTTATGTATTCAGCAGAGTGGGATTATATGAATATTAAATATATTACTTATATCATTTTTACTATGGAGAAAAACATACAATTGCTATGAATTCTTTAAAACAAGGTTTTTCCATTGTTTGATTGTAAAACAAAGGAACAAAAAAACCCCAGACCAAAAAACCTGAAATTTGACTTATGTCCTTTCAGTCGTCAAACAGTAATTGAAGTAAATCCTTTAAATCTGGGGTCAACAAACTAAGACCCCTGGGCCAACTCTAGCCTGCCTTTTGTTTTGTAAATAAAATTTTCTTGGAACAGAACCATGACTTTTAAGTTATTGTTCGTGGCTGCTTTCAGGCGATAACAGCAAAGTTAATTAGTCACAGCAGAAACCGTATGGTCAAGAAACCTTTTTTTATTTCTTGCTGTTTACAAAAAAAAAGATTTTATACATATATATGTGTGCATATGTAATATATATCTCTTTAGAAGAACTCTGTGGACAGTGATGATTTCCATGGAGGCAAAAATGAAGAGGGGTTAAAGCGGACAAAACATTCAGTGCGCTTTAAGCACCCTCCCTGAGCACGTGTTACTCAGCGCTGGACTCCACTGGGCCATCGTGCTGCTGTGAACGCAGTCAGAACTCATCCACCAGGAACAGACGTTCTTGCTCTTCTTTACCTTTCCCTCTGTGGTTCCTCCCATCCTCTCTAACTCTTTTTCCCTGTATAGCTAAATTTTTTGAAAATAAGTTTTTTTTCTTTCTTTTTTCACTCCTTCACTTCCTACTCAAATTCTTGCTTATCTCCAGTTTGGCCTGTGCTGAAGATTGGGTGGTAATAAAAATATCATAGGTAATAGTAAAGTTATTTATGATATTTTACTGCTAATTTAAATTTTTAATTGTAGAAGAAATTATAAATTTTGTAATAGTATAGTCCTGTAATTTTCAAAAGAGATAAATATTGCTGCTTTTAGCCAATAAAATTTGGCATAATTTATAGAATTACTCCAACGTGGGCAGTGTAGTTAAGACTTTCTGGTAATGGGTAGGTTTAGAGCCAGAGCCTAGAACTAACATGACACCTTCTGTTGCACGGTGTGTGTGGGGAGTATATGTGGTGCTGTGTGTACGTTACTGTCTCTCCCTGAAAACCACACAACTACTTTTTGTTCCTTCGTCATTGAAACCTATCGTTGTTTTGTCAGTTGATTAGGATTTGACTTCTGATTATGGGTCATGTCGTAATAATTGTTTTCTCCAGCCCGGATTCAGTTAAACACAGGAATATTGTGACTGTTCTGTCCTGCTAACTTTTACTCTGCTACAATATGTTAAATTTGAGTTCTGTAAATATATATACATAGATTTTATGTACTATGTTTTCAAGAAGGCAGGCTTGAAAGTGAATACTTAACATGTGCTTTATAACCAAAACTAATGTAGTCTTCATTAAATATGAAGCATTTAAAAATATTTAAGAAGATAAGCTTAAGAAGCTTATCATTCAGGAAGGCACTTTGTTGTCATTTTTTTAGTTTAGTATGTATTCATGACATTTAAAAAATTGTTTTGCCTTACGTTTTGTTTCTTAGGTACAGTTGTCTCGATTTTTCATGCTTTTTCTTCTTCTCCCAACAACTGTATAGAGCAGGGCGCTGCTATCGTACCTCCATTGTGTGGGTGGGCTGGGAGAGGTTAGGAGGCCACCGTGTGTGGCAGCCAGTCAGTGGCGGTCAGCACCTCTCCTCCCCGCCATGCTGAATTGTGGAATTGTACAGGGGATCTTGGAAAAATGTCAGTAAAGGAATATTTTGATTTGTACCCGTTTTCCATATTGGCTTGAAGAATCAAGGGGCCAGTACTAGACTTGTTCAACTGTCCTCTATCTTTCTTGTGAAGCAGTTATGTCGTGACAGTGCTGGGGATTCCAACATCCTCAGTTTGGGCAATAGTTAAAGCAGTTTTGTCTTCACTTGTGAAATATTTCTATAATTCTCTTTGTAAATATGGAGGAAAGATTCTCATTTGATGCTTATTACCTAGATGATTGTTTTTCGGGCTTTTATATGCTGTGCCTTAAGTGCCATCTTGAAGGAAAAGTAATGCCTACTCTTACTGCACCAGTTAGATGTTCACCGAAATTCTGTCATAGTAGTTAGTCATCATTTGTGGGAGTGCGTGTTAAACTCTTTAGGTATATACACATGTCTTGTGAAAGCTTATGCATATTCTCCATGAAATATATGTATTTCTCTCTGTATCACTGTCATTGGTTTATGGACCTTGTGGTGAGTATGAAGAACATTAATGTAAATTCACTGGCAGTAGTTCAAGGCAGTTCTATTGGTAGTGTTTTATTTTCAGTTCCTAATACTTACATGACCATCTTTTCCCCCATATGAACAGTTTCATTTTTATTTTAAGGGTAAGTGACTAAGGAGGAAGAAGTAGAGACCAGGATATTTCTTTAAAATTCACACACAGATACACCTGAGACAAAACCAAAAAATCTTATGTAGGAGAATGTAGATTTGACTGAGAATATATTTCCAGATTTTGTATATTAAAATTTCTAATTTACCTATAGAATCGTAAGTTTTAGTGAGTTTAAAGTCATGTTGGGTATTTTTACATGTGTGGCATAATTTTTGCTTGGTAAGTGACTTCTGAATATTCTAAGATAAATGTGTTGTAATGTGTTATTTGTGTTATGTCTTATTTTAATTTATTTCATTACATATTTATTTGCAGAGCATTTAAATTAGAGAATGACTCTATATCACTGTTTTTCTTATTGAAATAATTTCTGTAGTGATTTTTTGTGCATTAAATAAAGCGAGTTGCTGAAAACCAATTTTATGCTCAGAAAAACTTTATGGTCCAGTTCTTCTGTCAATCCATATGTCTTTTCTTCTGAGATAAGTATAAATCACATTTCAAATTGGATAAAATAGTGAATTTATGATTAAATGGTTATCTGTTTGCTATTTTAGAAATTGTGGCAAGTATTACTTAATATTGATTCAATTATCTTATCCTTGTGGATATTATGCAGGGCTTCTCTTGACTTTTTCTTAATTTCAGATAACATGTGTAACATCAAAACATATGACTCAATGTGCAATAAAAATAAAAATGTATAATGTGAAAATATTGATAATTATACATTTTAAAACTAATGTTTAGTCCATCCATAGCAGATTTGTTTATTTTTAACAAAGTAGAGATTTGTTTATTAATAACTTTATTACTTGAAATGTTTTTATGCTTCTGTTTTATATTCAGCTTGGTTAATTTCTACATATAATGATTCTAATTGTAACTATTTACAAATGTGAATGATCCTCTGATGTTCCTTCTTATTTCACTGACACAATAGAAGTGCCACGACTCCTGCCTGCCTCTCTACCAGCCTGCTGCCTCTGTCCTCAGTTACCCTTTGACCTGTCGCAGGGCCTGTGCATACACCTAGTCATCTAAGGCCACTCCTGCTCTTCCCTGCTGGACCCCAGCTCCTCTGGCTACTCAAGGACATTGTCCCCTTTCTGTCCTGCACTGTACACTTTCCCCCTTTCCGCTAGATCATTCTCATAAACATACAGATGTGCAATAATACATCATATATTAAAAGAAAGAAGAAATCAAAAAATATCCCGAACTCTGTATCCTTTTCTAAGTTCATCTTGTTTTCTTGGCTCTGCATAAATCATACCTCCTTGGAAAAGTTGGTTACCACGAGTCCTTTTCAACTCTCTGATACCTCTAGGTTGGCTTTCTTTCCCGTGACTTCCTGAAACTTACTCCAGTGACTGCACCTTGCCCACGCTCCGTGCAGCGTTTGTCACTGTCATTCATTTCCTCCTTCTCACCACACTTCTTCACTTGGTCCCTTAGGCACTGTGCTCATATTCGCCCAGTACCTCACTGATTCCTCTCCGTTTTCAGTCTCTGTTTAGCAGTATTCCTCTTCTCCTCATGCTTCCGACAGTCCCTGGACTCTTCACTTCTCTCTTTCCATATTGCAATGAACACAAATAGGAAAAGTTCCTTGATTTCTTTAACCACCCAGTGTCTACTGTGTTTGTCCTCATCTCAGTAGATGCCTCTCTGTTGCTCACCCCAAAATCTCAGAGTTATTCTTGACTTCTCTTTTTAATCAACATCTGACAGCTGATATGTAATAAAAGCCTGTTGGCTCCACCTTTATAAGTATATCCAGAAAAGACCCATTTTTCATAATCTCTACTGCTACCTGTTTTGTTCACGCCACCATTCTCTCTCTCCTGGACTATCACAGCACTCTCCAAATTAGTCTGATTCTGTTCTTGCTACTCTGGAGTTAGCTTATTTCAACTGATGCCAGATAAGTCTTTTAAAAGCGTAAATCAGATCAGTGTCACTTATCTCTCACAGCCTGCCTGCGACTTCAGTCCAGTTCAGAGTCAAACCGCACCCCTCCCTCTGCCTCCCTCCGGTTGTCCTGACCCACCTCTCACACTCTCCCTCTTGCTCAGTCAGTTGGCTCCACCTCCGGACACTCTAGATACACTGGCTTTTAGCTTTCTACTTTACATGCCAAGCACTCCTTGTCTCAGGCCCTTACATTTGCTTTTCTGTCTGCCGAGAATGCTCCTCTCACACACATCCACATGGCTTATTCCTTTATTTCCTTTAGTTCTCTGCTCAAATGTCACTTTTTCAGTCATGCTTTCTCTGGACACCCTGTACAAAGCGGTGCCAACAACCTCACCCCTCTCCACTCCAGTCTCTCTTACCCTGCTTTATTTTATTCATACAGAACATGTCACTATCCACACCAGAGTCAAAACTCCATAAACTGCATGAGGTACAGCCTTGAACCATTTGGTTAATTTCTCCAGTGTCTAGATTAGTGCATGAAACCTAGCAGATGTTCAGTTACATTTTATACACCTGATGATATTAGTACCTAACAATTCATCAATCCTTAGAAAGAATTTATGAATGTTAACATTTTAATTTATACAAATAATACAGCAAACTAATTTCTGTAAACATTCCCGAAGACTTAAGTTTTTGAGTTGTACATAAGCAAATTAAGAAGAAACAACATAAAGCTTTTTGTTTCATTTTATTCTAGGTACGAATTAATACAGAAGGGTGTAACTGAAGTTAGCGGTGGTGAGAAAGTCCCAGATGTGTACACCCAGAATATGCTTTTAGAAAATGAAAACAAAAATTTGAAGAAAGACTTGAAGCACTACAAACAGGCAGCTGAGTATGTCAGTTTTTAATTGACTTTTTTCTTTATTTTGGACTAAGTAAAAATAAAGAGTTAAATGAGGCTAATATGTGGGTGGTGGTTAATGTACCAGAACTTTAATTCTGAAGAACTGAATTACATTTAAGTTCTAGTTGGAAAGAATGTGAAAGGCTTCACTAGCAAACTAATTGGACAGATGACCAGAACATTCCCAACTGTAACTCATCAGCTAGGGTGGAATGCAGGGCCTGTGTAGGAGATGATTAATTTGTTGTATAACTTTCACCTCTGTATGTATTTTGATAATCTTTTCATGGTTTGTCAAATCTTCCCCTGTGAAGATAAGTTAACTCCTGAAATAATAATAAAATTACAGAAATCAGAGAGGAATGAAGAAGCTGGTGTATTTCTGGTAGAAGAATTTCAGTATTTGAAAATTTCCTGAAGGAAACTTATTTAGGAATTTTCTAGAGTAAATTTATACATACAGGAGAAACTTAACAGAAGTTAAATCTCTCTGCATCTTTCTTTTTTCTAAAATTAATGGAAGACATGCAGTTTTGGGTGAATAGATTTCAATGAACAGTGTTATACTGGCAAAGACAAACCTGTGAGTGTGTCGACCTGTGTAAATCTGTTCCTGTGAGACAGTGTTAGATGGAAAGTCAGTGCTTGCATATTGAGTAAAGACAGTTCAAGGTTTGTTCATTAATTTTTATTAAACTATTTAAAGAAGAGCTTTCTTTGTTAAAGAATCAGATTAAAACAAAAAATAGATTAAAATGCCATATAGGAACGTAATATTTTTAAGATCTTTGTAAGAAAAGTTTACCTTGATGAAATAAGACTCATTGCATACTGACAGAAACATTTGACATAAGCTCCTACTTTTAAAAGGAGGTGGTAAATTGTTATTTATTCAGTCACATAGACACTCATACAACTGTTTTTTCAAGTTATATGAATTTTATATTATCTGTGGATGTGCCGTTTGGCCTTCCACATTTTAGGTAGAAGTGTATGATGATTCACAGAATAATATGCTGTGAGGACCAGCGATCTGTCTATTCTAGGTTCCAGTTCTCAGAAGCAATTCACGCCGTTGGCCCGATGCCCACTGGGGTCTTGTGCAGATGCCTAATGGGAGCAGCGGGCATTTGACGAGCAGGTGTTTCAGAGTGCTGCCTGGCATCCCGCGTCTGCTCCTGCACCGTCGCATTGTTGCTTTGTTAGCTCGTTTTCTTTGGAATAGTGCCTCTTTGTGAAATGAGTTTTTCCCCAGTGGTATTGAATAATCCTGTTGATTGCTGGTTGTTTATATTTAATAATTATAATCGATACCATATAAACTATTAGCAAATGAAATTATTAATGTAACGTTAGAAGAAACCATGATTAAAACAGATATCACTCAGATCTGTCCCTTGTTTTTTTTTAAAAATAATCTTTAAAAAGTTTTTTTTAAGATTTTATTCATTTATTTTTAGAGGGGAAGGGAAGGAGAGAGGGAGAGAAATATCAATATATGGTTGCCTCTTGTGTGTCCCCTGCTGGGAACTGGCCTGCAACCTAGGCATGTGCCCTGACTGGGAATCGAACCTTGATCCTTTGATTCACAGGCCCGTGCTCAACCCGCAGAGCTACACCAGCCAGGGCCTGTCCCTTGTTTATGTTTGCTAAAATATTAGATTACTAAATGTTTATAAAATATACTGTATTTGCTAAAATGTAGTGTTAATTTCACTGGTTTACGGTAATCTCTGAAATCTATCTTATTTGATATAATTATTTTTTAAATATATTTTTTTATTTTATTGATTATGCCATTATATTTGTTCTATTTCCCCCCCCTTCATTCCCCTCCACCCTGAACACCCCTCCCCCACCATTCCCCCCCTTTAGTTTATGACCACATGTCTCAAGTTCTTTAGATTCTATATTTCCCATTCTATTCTTGCCCTCCCCCTATCTATTTTCTACCTACCATTTATGCTACTTATTTTCTGTACCTTCCCGCCCTTCTTCTTCTCCCACTCCCCTGTTGCTAACCCTCCACATGATCTTCATTTCTATGGTTCACTCCTGATCTAGCTGTCCTCTTAGTTTGCTTTTGTTTTAGGTGTGGTTGTTAATAACTGTGAGTTTGCTGTCCTTTCACTGTTCATCTTTTTTATCTTCTTTTTCTTAAGTAAGTCCCTTTAACATTTCATATAATAAGGGCTTGGTGATGGTGAACTCCTTGAATTTGATCTTATCTGAGAAGCACTTTATCTGCCTTTCCATCCTAAATGAAAGCTTTGCTGGATAGAGCAATCTTGGTTGTAGGTCTTTGGATTTCATGACTTTATTTGATATAATTAAACTCTAACAAATTAGAAAAGGAAGATATTTATTTGCTTTAATCTACCTGACACAGACAATTTGAAGGAAAGATAATTGGCCCTTGGTAGAAGCCTAATATTTATATCACTGAGTGGATATTAAGCTCATCATCTTTTCACAGTGCACTTTGGTGAAGTGCGTCCCTGCAGCCTGATTCTGCTGGAGACATTCTCAGAAAATGGAGAGTTTTTCCATTTTTAACAAAATGGAAATTTTGTTAAAAGAACCCATAAACTATATCTGTTATGTCACAAGTTTGCCCAAGTAGTAATATTTCATCAGACAGATTTTTAAATTTGACTTGTAAGGCTATTTTCCAGTAGGAATCAGTAATAAACATGGGGTTCCCATGATGGAATTTGACCTGAAGTTTTTCTTTTTAGGATTAAGGCCATTTCTTAAAGCAAGATTTGTTATCTATTGTCTTGATTATACTGGTACTATTTAATGATATAGCTAGAAAAATCAGGGAGATCATAAAGCTATATGCTTAATATTTATCTAGGGGAAAGTTGCCCTGGAAAGAGTATTGAACTTAAAGTTCAAATACCTAGCTTCTAATATTCTACTTATTAACTCAGCTGTCTTATTGTTAAGCTGGGAATAATTATACATAATATTATTTACTTCTGGGGAGTGTTGTGATAATTAAAAGAGACAGTCTATGTTAGATAGCTGTGCCGATCACAGAGTGCTTTGAAAATGGCAGCTCTTCCTGTGGATATCTGTGAGGGCTGTCATCCCCAGATCTTTTTAGTCCTCACATTGTTAACATTTAAAAAAATTCAGCCCCGATGAATCAATCATGAAGGAAGAAATGAAAAGGGAAAATCTTTCACTGTGAAATATCATTTGAATTGCTAAAATTAAAAGTGAAATTGTTTTTCTGTTGTAAGCAATGGTCATTTTAGAACAGAGGGTTTTCCTACACTTGCTCCAAATGTAGACTGTATTCTAAAATAAAAAAAATTGGGGTGTGGTATGTATGTATAATGGTGACAGATGTTGATTTAGACTTATGTGATATGTAAAAAATTATTATGTTTACATCTGAAATGAATACATTATTTTATGTCAGTTATGCCTTGATATAAAAAGTTTGGGAAATAACTTTCTGGAAGTTTTCCTCACAGCCGTTTTTAAGGGGAAAATGTATTATTAAAGAAGATTTATACTTACATTGAAGGTAAAAGTGTATAATGTACTAGTTACCGGAGAGGAACAATACATATAGTAGTTTAACATTCTTTTTTTGTAAAAGGAGAATACAGCTGTACTTTTATTTTGAAACATACATCAATTATTATTTTAAATGCAGAGATGTAGAATTTAAGTGTGACCTGCCACACTTTTGTGAAGAAGTGTCTCTTTAATGAAGACTGGAAGACATCACTGGAGTTACAAAGTCTCCCAACAGTTAAGACACCATTGTGCAAACCTTGTTGTATTTGGTAGTTGACAGGTCACAGTATTCACCTCAGTCTAAGGCCTATGAAAATGATTGCAAGTTTAATTAATTAGGAACCTGTTTGTTTGATGTTGTTTCTTATCTTGACTAGCATTTTCTGCCTCATTTTCATAATGTAGGTATTGTACATCATATTCTCAATTTGATGGCTTGCTCCTGAAAACACCATTGTACTCGTACTTTTACATCCTGTAGTCTGGCTTCCACGGCTCCTGTTCTCCTGGTTTTCATTGCTCCTCTCCCCTAGCTCTGCAACAGCATCCTCTCCTGCCTTTCCTTCTGCCTCGTCGGCAGCCTCTTTTTCTCCCCTCACCGTCATCCCATTTACACCCTGAGACACTACTGCCCTGTAACTGCACGTGGGTGTTGGCAGATACGGATGTGTCGGGTGGTGGTTAAGTACAGGGAGGAAACACAACATGGGTAGAGAAGACAGCGATAAAGGGTGTGTCGTTGTAGATAGGCGAGGGAGCGAAGTCCTTTCACTGTTTGAAGATACTGAGAAAGAAGGACTCGTGTGAATTTGGGAAAGGGAATTCCAGGCAGAGGGAAAAGGAAGTACATAGAGTTTATGGTGGGGACAGCGTGGCTTGTTTGGGGCTTAGTGAAGGAGACCATAGAGACTGGAATGAGGAGCTAAGTGGTAGAGTCCCTTTTCAGAATTTTTCTTTTTTCCTCTGGGTGGAATGTGAGGCTAATGGACAGTTTTGAGGAGTTGGCTCCTGTGTAGGAAATGACTGGATGGAGGGACATGATAGAAGTAGGGAGAACATTCTTATATTCTGCATAACCTTCTCATAGATTGACTTATGATACAGTGATAATGAAGTCAGGTGAGCTCCTTGTGGCACAATGAAGTCCCAGCATCTGCTGTTCTCAAACTCTTCATTACTAATCCCTCTCAAGCTTTGGTTCAGAACAGATCCAGTGTTAATGACAGCAACACAAATGCATGATGCTCTGCCATATAGTATATGTGAGAATATAACTTTCCCTCACTCCCCTTGTGTGTAAGTGGGGTAATATTACCTGTCCTTGATGGAATCACTTAGAAGTGTTTAGCACAGTATGCGGCACATGGTCAGTGCCAAATCAGTATTCTGTATTGCAAAACCTTTTAAAAACAAGTCACTGCAGTTTACACTTATATAACTTATATTCTATT